ATACATACATACATACATACATACATACATACATACATACATACATACATACATACATGCAGACATACATGCAGACGACGAGCTTTGTTATAAGTAACGTATGAAGTACACAACACAAGTGACTGTAAGTTCTTTTGGCAGCAGAGTAGCTATTACAAAGATTTCATCGGTTTTTAACGCTGAATTTCTGTGTGTCACTGTAACACTCAAGGCGAACCAATAAGGGTAACAGATCTTGCTGCTACTCATTATATCCTGCTTTCAGACATACTGTATAAAAAAGAGGTAATTTTAGCATTCGCGTTTTGAAGAGAAAGAACGTTTATTTTTGGTTTATATCAAGAAGTTGCTCCTTTTCAAACGGTGTACTCATTTATCTATTTTATAAAATGTAATTGAGAGGGAAATGGAGCACAAACGGTGGTATCATTTAGGTCTCCTTCAAATAAATTTAGTTTGAGTTTAAATCAAACTTCGGCTATTAGGAAAATGAATCAGGAGTCCGTAGAATCATGTTTACTTATTTTTTAGCCAGAAACTCGAATGAGTAGTTCAAAAACGTCCATTGGGTTTTAATTCAATGAATTTTCAGGGCAGGCGGTGACAGGAGAACTAAATCGTCGTGGAGCCACAGTGTACATGCTTGTGCGCGATCTGCAACGAGGCAGGGACTCCATCAAGCGCCTAGAGGAGGTCCATTTTCGGTGGATTTGCTTACTGAACATCTTTTTAAATGCAAAAAGTATAGTGCATCGTATCGCTTAACAATCAATGACGATATCGCCTCGAAATAGTGCAGGCGTTTGCCGCTCCAAATTTCGACCTTTACTAATTCTAAGTGTTACTATGATAGTCTCTCCACATTGCTGTATCTTTCGTGGACAGATCACTCCGCGTAGACACCATCTGAATTGTTTTTAGTTGCAATTTGATAACCCTCTATATTATAAGCACTCCTTCAGTTTTTAAAAAATGTTCAGAACTAAGCATCTAGATTGTCCACGCCCATAACTTTGGCATAATAGGCGTCGGATTCTCATTTCTATTGGCTCGTCCCCAATTCATCGTCCAAGTGTCAGCGCCTGTTCCGCTATATTCACTGTTAAAAAACATTTGTATTTAATCTTTCATCAATCTTCGGTTTATTTAAGTTTTATTTTTGTTAACAACACAGTCAAGCACAGGCTAAAAAATGGGAGTTTTAGCTAGGAGTTTCTTCATTCTATAATTTGTAGGCTTTTCGATCTGTTGAGATTTAACGTTTGTTCCTCGTCATCTATGATTTGCTGAACAAAACTTTTTATGCACAACTTCCTTACTCACTGCACCCTTGCGAACGCTTCATTTTATTGGACATT